TGTTGTACTACTGGATGTTATTGTTTGTTCTGCTGTTGCATCAATAGCTGTAGTTTCTGTTGCTGCGTCAGATAGTGTAAGTTCTGTTGTTGTAGTGGTGAATGTTGATATGTGTTCTGCTATTGTATCGGTAGATGTTGTTTCCGTTGCAGTGTCTGATGGTGTCGTTTCTGTTGTTGTAGTGTAGGATGTTTGTTCTGCTATAGTTTCAGTAGCTGTTGGTACTGTTAATATGTCTGACGGTGTCAGTTGTGTTGTTGTACTACTGGATGTTGTTGTTTGTTCTGCTGTTGCATCAGTAGCTGTAGTTTCTGTTGCTGCGTCAGATAGTGTAAGTTCTGTTGTTGTAGTGGTGAATGTTGATATTTGTTCTGCTATTGTATCGGTAGATGTTGTTTCCGTTGCTGTGTCTGATGGTGTCGGTTCTGTTGTTGTTGTGGTGGATGTTGCTGTTTGTTCTACTATTGTATCAGTAGCTGTTATTTCTGTTGATTTGTCGGATGGTGTAGTTTCTTTTGTTGTAATAGTGGATGTTGATGTTTGTTCTGTTACTGTATCGGTAGCTGTTGGTTCTATTGTTGTGACTGCTTCTGTTGGTTCTGTTGTTGTAGTGGTGGATGGTGATGTTATTTCTGCTGTTATATCTGTATTTATTTGTGCTGCTGCTGTATCTAATGGTGCCGGCTCAGTTGTTGTTGTAGTGATGGGTGTTGATGTTTGTTCTGCTATTGTTTCAATAGCTGTTGGTGCTGTTGTTGTTGTAGTGATGGGTGTTGATGTTTGAACAGCTATTGCATCAGTAGCTGTAGTTTCTGTTGCTGTGTCAGATGGTGTAAGTTCATTACTTAGTGCTGATGATGTTGTATCTAGTTGCGAACTGATAGAAGTATCAGTGTCAGCCATCAATCGTCCATGCAACAGTTGAAACAATAACAGCAATACGACGTAGAGCTCCATGCTTTAGACAATTTATTTGTTTAAACGTTTGCTTTTTTTCCCTACATCACAATCTTGATGTCTATACTCAGTGAGATGTGTTAGGCTATCCTAAATCTTCGCCTATTAAAATTGCTTGATTAATGGAAAAATAAAATGATTTCCACGTGCAAACTTTTCACAACAAATCAAATTTATTTAAATCAATCATAACACTATGAGTGAATGATCAGCTCTGATCTGAAGATAATTCTATTCGATTATTGTAATTTATATTGAAATAGCTGCAACAAATATCGAATGACAGGCAAAGAAAAATAAAAAAAACATTATTTACTTAGTTTTACTGGATTATATCAACTTCTAGAGATACTTTTTCGAGAAAAAACATGAAATACGCATGAATAGTCAATGTAATCAGACTAAATTTAAAAAAAAAATATTTTTAAAAATATTGCAAGCAATAGAAGTATAGTTACATTTATAAAAATTATTTGGGAACCATCGATTACACTCATTTTCATATTTTTGTAGTGAATATAAGCGGTTGAAAAGCCATTTTGATTTATTTTATCAATTCAAATAGCTTTTAGAAAAAACCGCCCTAAACCTCTCCATTGAAATCAACCAGATCGGCCAAGGAAAGTAAAGCAATGAAAGTAACAACAATTGTTTTCCATGGTAAAAGACACTAAATCGGCCCTAGTAGTTAATTTACATTAAATAATATGACACCTCTTATCACCACGACACTCAGACTCTACTAAACCAAATTATAAATAACAGTGTTTGTTATATTACTATTATATTACTAGTAATTATTTGATTGACTTTACTACCGATTGAACTCACCAGTGGTACGAGAGGGGAATTAGTAAAGTATGGCTAATTTTTTTGTCTTAATTTTTGGTTTTCAATTAAGTTTGCTGCAATATTAAAATAAACTGCATATGACTATATGAACATTTTTAATTTTTGTTTCTTGAAATAATGGTATGTATTTTCAAGAACTAGTGTATGTGTATATATAATATATATGATGTATATATATATATATATATATATATATATATATATATATATATATATATATATATATATATTGAACACATGATTTTTCAGATTAATATTGTTTATAGAGAAGACTTACCCAATTTATTTCTTACTTGTGATCATAACCTTATTACACTAAAACGCTACAAAATCAACTACTTTAAAAACCTTAATAATTTACACACATAAATTGTGTAGTCCTGTGTATCGTGGAATCACCAACAATTAACGCAAGCCTTCATCTGTATCGGCTCGAACATTATTCCCAGACCAGCACAATAACTAAATCCGCAAATTTTGTATTTTGTTTTATAAACATCCCCCGCCTTCTCAGTGACTGTTCCGTGTAAACTGTCCCCTCATCTCGTCATTCAGTCTAATGTTACGTTTCGATGCTTATCTAAACTATCAGTAATTAAACTATTTGGTTTCAATCGTTTGATTTTAGAATAGAGACTGTTTCTTTGAATAATTACAGAGCGCTACGGTCGTGAAACTAGTCGATGTTCAATTATTTAGATATTTTTTTAAAAGAATCAGCGAAGCAGAGAGTACATTTCGGTCATTTCCCACTTAAAAATCAAATCACCAATCTTGATGTTTTACTTTAGTTAATATTTTAGTGCCCCAAAACAGTATCATACATCTTACGCCTACGCTTTTTCTTGACTTATCACCCACATACAGCTAAAGACGCTCACATACAAACACAAAAATAAATAAATAAATAAATATATAAATATATATATATATATATATAAATAAATAAATAAATATATATATATATATATATATATATATATATATATATATATATATATATATATATATATATATATATATATATATATATATATATATATGAATTCATGTGAAATGATTTAAGACAAAATACCATAGTCAAAGTATAACTGGACAACATTTCTTAAAGACAAAAGAGCTCAGAGACAAAAGATAGGATCAAATATCTCAGGAGATCATATCTGAAGGCAAAATACTTCCTGGTCAAAATATCTGAAGGCAAAATACTTCCTGGTCAAAATATCTGAGGGCAAAATACCTCATGGTCAAAATATCTGAGGGCAAAATATCTCCTCGTCAAAATATCTACAGTAACTACCATCATCTTTTACAAAACGCCGGTATAATGAATAGTTTTTTTCATATCACATGTTGCATAAATTATTCATTTTCGAAGTATAATTAGGATTATAATGTTCGTAGTTTTAACTGACAATTAGATTGATCGGTGTTATTAGCAACCAATGTTTGATTTTGTAGGTTGGCTTGCCAATTGTGAGATCACTGACCATCTCAGGTGGACAAATTTGTTCGAAGAGATATTTCTAATCTAGTAATGGAAGGATAACGAAGACACCTCATCACGATATGTGTCTGTTCACAAGCAAGGAAATCGCCCACTTACATGGCAGAGAAAAAAAAGCGCCATCCGTTAAAAAAAAACCATTAAAATATTAAACAACTATCACGACAGTCAAAACGTTATCTATGTCACGCTTGAGTGGGCAGGAGATGAATGTTTGTTTACTTTTACACGACAGGTTTCGTTGTGGAGTAGTTATTTTTGTGAGCACCCAAGTAAAGCCGTATTAATAGTGAAGACCCAGCGATTGCAAATAAAACAATGGTTTTTATAGACTGATGCTTATCACTCAATTACTTTTTTTAAAAGTAGCTCACGTATTTTATATAGTGAATATTTTTTCCGGAATAATTTGCTTTTAACAATTTTAAATTCCTTTTAAATAAAAAAAAAATATCACCCTGGCTTTATTTTTCAATTTTAAAATGAAATCAGTAAAAACCCCGAGTAGATGATGCTCAAAATCTTGAGTCGGCAGTCCATCTAGGACATAAATCTCCAAAATATACCTAGGATGGCTACAGGACATTACCCCCCCCCCCCCAAACGTCAATTACTCCCCGGATTTACCCCCCTAACCCTAACTTTAACCTAACCCTAGCTTTACCTTATGCTGTGTTCCGTAGGTGGGGGGGAGGGGTAATATCCTACTGGGCGGGGGGTAATTGACAAGTGGGTAATAAATCCGGGGGGTAATGTCGGGGGGGGGGAATGTCCGTGGGTTGACGGGGGGGGTGATGCCCTGTTCCCAACCATGGTATATTTGTCTTAACATATTTTTTTCCCTAGATATTTTGTATATGACATCATTTATTCTTATACATTTAGTCTGCGATATTGTGTAGGTCAACACTTCATCTGGAGGAATTGTGTGTCCAGCTGTTAGTGTCACCCTCAAAAGATGTTTTTTGTGTCGGGATTTTAGGCCGACACTTCAAGAATTAATTGCATGTAGGGGTTGAAGGTGAAACTTTATCAGGGTGATTTTTGGGATTAAGGATATAATATGAAACTATATGAGGGTACTTTGGGATTAAGGATAAAATATGAAACTGTATCAGTGTGATTTTTGTGATTAAGGATAAAAGAGGATATTTTTGGGATTAAGGATAAAATATGAAACTATACGAGGGTATTTTGGGATTAAGGATAAAATATGAAACTGTATCAGTGTGATTTTTGTGATTAAGGATAAAAGAGGATATTTTTGGGATTAAGGATAAAATATGAAACTATATGAGGGTATTTTTGTGATTAAGGATAAAATATGAAACTATTTGAGGGTATTTTTAGGATAAGGATAAAATATGAAACTGTATCAGTGTGATTTTTGTGATTAAGGATAAAAGATATGAGCTAAACAGCCCAAACAAAATATCTCAGGAGAATTAAAATCTTACAGTGTTCAAAAAAATATTGGTCGATTGAACACATTGTTTAATTACAATGAATGACTCATTTCCTAAGTCTCATTAGCGATCCATTACCTAAATTACCATTAGTGACCTACACACTCCCCACACAATAAACGTATATAACAAACTCACCCTACACCAAACGTACACACACACACACACAGACACACACACACACATAGCTCAAGATACCTGACAACGCCATTTTGATATTTCTGTTTACTATGTGTTTAGAAACTCGTATAACATTACTTCAGCCAATTGATCAACATTGGAAAGGTTGAGACCAAACAAATCGGATATTGGTTTTCAAATTAAAATATATATTTTGTTTTCTTCGATTAGCAGCATTCACGGCAAAAAAATCATCTTTTCGCTTTGCCAGGAGTTTGCCTAATCGTCCTAGCCACGACTAAAATACGCCAATCATCTTGTCCGAGTCCTTTATGTATTCCCAATAAAGCGGCAGGCCTGCGTATTACGTCCAGATTCCATCGCCTTTGCCGGATTTGAGAAATTCTTCACGAAGATTTAAGCCGTTTCAACATACGGCAGACGTAGGGTGTGTGGATTGTGGAATTATCCAGGAAATTCAATGAGTTTTTATCGCTCCTTGTGGGGTGTGTTAATAATCTTTCGTTTCGTATTTTCAAGAGAGTGACAAGCGCGGTGTTAAAATAGCGCCGGGATTTCCCGTTTCCTGAAATAGCGCTGGACAACGTCGGGTTAAATATTAACCGATCACAGTAGACGTTAGGGTTAAGATACCCGTTTATCACAGGTTGTTTAGGGTTATGGTTGTTGTCGTTCCAATCAATGACATCCTGTTCGCTTTCTTCATCAACTCGCAGAGAAGCAGACGTCTCCCCCACCCCCCAGGGGCATGCGGGCACGTCACAGCTGCAGTTGTTGTTGCCACAGGAGTTGGACCAAGAGGTGTTGTAGAGGGCGGGGTAACCGCACGTGTTGCAGTCCAGCGGCTTGGCAGCGGTCATCATCAGGAGGTTGTGACACTTATCCACAACACACTTGAAGTTATCTGCCTCGGCTTTCGTCTGGAAGGATATGAGGAACTCGTCCACGACGGTACCTCTGGGGAACACAGTGGGGAACATTGTTTCATGTAAGGAATACGTTGGGGAACACGATGGGGAACACAGTGGGGAACATTGTTATATATCGGAACATGATGGGGAACAAATAAGGTACACGGTGGGGAACAGTGTGGGGAACATTGTTACATATCAGAAACACGATGGGGAACAAACTGTGGGGAACATTGTTATAAGACAGGAACACGATGGGGAACACAGTGGGGAACATTGTTACATATCATGTACACGACGGTACCTCTGGTGAGCACTGTGGGGAACATTGTTACATATCAGGAACATGATGGGAAACAGTATGGGGACATTGTTATATATCAGGAAGACTGTTCCTCTGGGGAACAGTATGGGGAATATTGCTACATATCAGGTACATGACAGTTCCTCTTGGGAACAGAGAACAGTGAAAGCGGGGGATATTATATGAGGAACTCGTCTCAGACCTTCCCTCTAGAACAGTGCCGCTTGACTTACTTTGGAGGTACCGAACTCCATCAGTTTTACATGCGCGTTCACACGATCCTTTGTAAGATAGCTAAAATTATTTTAAACATGGCTATCTTCCTTACTGTTACACAGCTTGAATTATAAAGCTTATATGCTATGCTTCTTATTTTGTAAATATAAGGTAATGGGTAATTTTGCCGATTATTTTACTGTTAAGTGCTTTATGGTTATATCATTTGATATCACTGTGCTAAACAGATCAAAATAGGATTGCCATTTATATGAATGAAACTTTGCTTATACCTTAAACAATAGTAAAATCTGATTTATGAAGATGGATTTTTAAGAATCTGTTTCATAGAGTATAAAGATGATATTTAAAGTATTTATCTAAATTTAAGATGAAGCAGAATACATAATTAGCGAAGAAAAAAAAACTTGAATTTTTAAACATTATAATGAAAGAAATTGTTTTATCAGTTACAATATATATATATATATATATATATATATATATATATATATATATATATATATATATATATATATATATAATTTAAAAAATCCAGGACGAGTGGCCGTTTACTTACTTCTCACCGCTACAGATGGTGTTGTAGATAAACCCGTGCTGTGTGCGCGGGGCGCGCTCAAAGATGGTGTCTCGCCGTATGTAGTGGTGAGTACAGCCCGCACGGCAGCCGCTCTCAAAGACTAGACTGAAGCCCATGCCGTTAGAGCACTGAGTCACCTTGACAAATCCCTGCTGCATCTCTAGCCAAGTCTGGGGGAGATCAAGGCAATGGTTCTAGAACATTTCAGTAGTACTAGAACATTTCAATAGTACTAGAACATTTGGTCAGTTCTAGAACATTTGGTCAGTTCTAGAACATTTCAGTAGTACTAGAACATTTGGTCAGTTCTAGAACATTTGGTCAGTTCTAGAACATTTCAATAGTACTAGAACATTTCAATAGTACTATAACATTTGAATAGTACTGGAACATTTCAAAAGTACCAGAACATTTAGTCAGTTCTAGAACATTTGAATAGTACTGGGACATTTCAATAGTACTGAAACATTTGAATAGTACTGGAACATTTCAAAAGTACTAGAAAATTTAGTCAGTTCTAGAACATTTGAATAGTACTGCAACATTTCAATAGTACTAGAACATTTGGTCAGTTCTAGAACATTTGAATAGTACTGGAACATTTCAATAGTACTGGAACATTTGGTCAGTTCTAGAACATTTCAATAGTACTAGAACATTCGACTAGTTCTAGAACATTTGAATAGTACTAGAACATTTGGTCAGTTCTAGAACATTTGGTCAGTTCTAGAACATTTCAATAGTACTAGAACATTTCAATAGTACTAGAACATTTCAGTAGTACTGGAACATTTGGTCAGTTCTAGAACATTTGGTCAGTTCTAGAACATTTGGTCAGTTCTAGAACATTTCAGTAGTACTAGAACATTTCAGTAGTACTGGAACATTTGGTCAGTTCTAGAACATTTGGTCAGTTCTAGAAAATTTCAATAGTACTAGAACATTTCAGTAGTACTAGAACATTTGGTCAGTTCTAGAACATTTGGTCAGTTCTAGAACATTTGGTCAGTTCTAGAACATTTCAGTAGTACTAGAACATTTCAGTAGTACTGGAACATTTGGTCAGTTCCAGAACATTTGGTCAGTTCTAGAACATTTGGTCAGTTCTAGAACATTTCAATAGTACTAGAACATTTCAATAGTACTAGAACATTCGGTCAGTTCTAGAACATTTCAATAGTACTAGAACATTTCAATAGTACTAGAACATTTCAATAGTACTAGAACATTCGGTCAGTTCTAGAACATTTCAATAGTACTGGAACATTTGGTCAGTTCTAGAACATTTCAATAGTACTAGAACATTTCATAGTACTAGAACATTTGGTCAGTTCTAGAACATTTCAATAGTACTAGAACATTTCATAGTACTAGAACATTTGGTCAGTTCTAGAACATTTCAATGGTACTAGAACATTTCATAGTACTAGAACATTTGGTCAGTTCTAGAACATTTCAATAGTACTAGAACATTTCATAGTACTAGAACATTTGGTCAGTTCTAGAACATTTCAATAGTACTAGAACATTTCATAGTACTAGAACATTTGGTCAGTTCTAGAACATTTCAATAGTACTAGAACATTTCATAGTACTAGAACTTTGGTCAGTTCTAGAACATTTCAATAGTACTAGAACATTTCATAGTACTAGAACATTTGGTCAGTTCTAGAACATTTGGTCAGTTCTAGAACATTTGGTCAGTTCTAGAACATTTCAGTAGTACTAGAACATTTCATAGTACTAGAACATTTGGTCAGTTCTAGAACATTTCAATAGTACTAGAACATTTCATAGTACTGGAACATTTCAGGGATTGGGCAAATATTAGGACAGAGGTTAGAGTTCGGATACATACAAAACGTAGAATCAAACGCTTTATAGTTTGGTCACATTCTTATAAACAGATTGCAGGTCTTAAGATATCACAAGTGTTTGGGGGAGGTATAGTAGCTACAACATAGCTTTGAAAATATTAAAATGTTAAAACACCAATCAAAAACAGACTCACCTTGTCCTTAGAGGCGCACCAAACAAGACACAAAAACAAACTCACCCTGTCCTTAGAGAAGCGCACCAAACAAGACACAAAAACAGACTCACCTTGTCCTTAGAGAGGCGCACCAAACAAGACACAAAAACAGACTCACCTTGTCCTTAGAGAGGCGCACCAAACAAGACACAAAAACAGACTCACCCTGTCCTTAGAGAGGCGCACCAAACAAGACACAAAAACAGACTCACCCTGTCCTTAGAGAGGCGCACCAAACAAGACACAAAAACAAACTCACCCTGTCCTTAGAGAGGCGCACCAAACAAGACACAAAAACAGACTCACCTTGTCCTTAGAGAGGCGCACCAAACAAGACACAAAAACAGACTCACCCTGTCCTTAGAGAGGCGCACCAAACAAGACACAAAAACAGACTCACCCTGTCCTTAGGCGCACCAAACAAGACACAAAAACAGACTCACCCTGTCCTAAGGCGCATCAAACAAGACACAAAAACAGACTCACCCTGTCAGAGGCGCACCAAACAAGCCACAAAAACAGACTCACCCTGTCCTAAGGCGCACCAAACAAGACATCAAAAACAGACTCACCCTGTCCTTAGAGAGGCGCACCAAACAAGCCACAGAGCTGAAGAGAGTTTTCTCTATGGCGTTCTCATAAGCGTAGGGGTCGTACACTAGATCCGCGTTGATGGCGCAGCCCATGTTCTTGGTGGGGCTGGAACAAGGCGGTGGCTGACTGCTCCTCTGGGAGTTGTTCATCCCGCAGGAGTATCCGGACGGTCCGGCATCACACGGCGGCCGGCTCATCATTGGTGCCGGAGCGTTGATTGGGACGCCGGGTGCGGGACAGGGAACGAATCCACCTACGATAGGCCAGGGCGTGAATCGCGGGGAACTGCAGCAGGACTGGGTGAACTTGTCGGCTGCGAGGGGGTCGATCATGGCGGTGGGGAAGTTCGGGGGGCAGGAGGCGCACTGGCCGGTGCCGAGCAGCGTGTTGGCTGTCGCGCTGGACACGCAGTCGATGTTGTGGAAGGCGCAGCGGACCGTGTCCAGCACGATGCGGAACCGGTGGGCCTGGTAGGGGTCGCAGAAGACAACCTGGGCCACGTCCACCTTGTCCTGGGCGCCTGTGGAGGGGAGGGGGGGTCAAGTTGTTGGAATAGTAGGTCAACTCGGTAAAATTGTAGGGGAGGAGTAAAGTTGTTGAAATAGTAGGTCGACTCGTTAAAATTGTAGGGGAGGGGGGTCAAGTTGTTGAAATAGTAGGTCAATTAAATGTAGAGGGGGTCAGCTTGTTAAAATAGTAGGTCAACTAAATGTGGAGGGGAGGGGTCAAGTTGTTGGAATAGTAGGTCAACTCGTTAAATTTGTAGGGGAGGGGGGTCAAGTTGTTGAAATAGTAGGTCAATTAAATGTAGAGGGGGTCAGCTTGTTAAAATAGTAGGTCAACTAAATGTGGAGGGGAGGGGTCAAGTTGTTGGAATAGCAGGTCAACTCGTTAAAATTGTAGGGGAGGGGGTCAAGTTGTTGAAATAGTAGGTCAATTAAATGTGGAGGGGAGGGGTCAGCTTATTAATATAGTAGGTCAATTAAATGTGGAGGGGGGGGGGGTCAAGTTATTGGAATATTAGGTCAATTAAATGTGGAGGGGAGGGGTCAAGTTGTTGGAATAGTAGGTCAATTAAATGTGGAGGGGAGGGGTCAGCTTGTTAATATATTAGGTCAATTAAATGTGGAAGGGGGGGGGTCAAGTTATTGGAATAGTAGGTCAACTCGTTAAAATAGTAGGTCAACTTAATGTAGAGGGAGGGGGGGTCAGCTCGTTTAAAAAGTAGATTAATTTAATGTGGACGGGAGGGGGTCAAGTTGTTGAAACTGTAGGTAAAATTGTTAAAATACTTTGTCAATTAAATTTGGAGGGGAGGGGGGGGGGGGGCAACTTGTTAAAATTGTTGGAGGTCAAGTTGTTAAAAAATCGTAGGTCAACTAAATGTGGAGATCAACTCGTAAAAATAGCAGGTCAGCCAAATGTCGAAGTAAAGCGGTCAAGTCGTGAAATAGAAGAAGGTCAACAGTTCAATTCGATACCACCCAGTCGAGTATGATAAAGGTTGGGGTTTCGATATATTTATGGGCGATATTATCGATTCGATTACTGCAGTACAGCCGATGAAAATGTCGGGGTGTTTATAAATGTATTACGAAACCTAAACCTTTTTTAAAATAGTTGTTTCGTTGATGCCGATTTAAATGCCATTATATTCTATCTGTATACTGTATACAAACGCCGGCTGGGAAAAAGAAATAAAAGGTTAGCACGTCTCCTAGGCGAGGCCATAACACTAGCTCTGATTATAATCATAAACCTGACCCTAACTCTAGTCCTCATCCTAATCCTAGTTGATCCTAACGCTAGCCATAATCCAGTGTTTCTTCCAGCCTTTTTCCGCGGGTGCGGACACTGGTAAAAGTAGATCTAGATCTATATGTTTTCTATATAAATTCATTTCGTTCGAGGGGGGTGAGGGGTTTAGACTCCTGGGGTTTATGCCTGGAAGAAACTCTGACCCTAACTTTAGCCCTAAGCCTAATCCTAGCCGTGACTTAAAGCTAACGCATGCCCTTAACCTAATCAGTCCTAATCCTAACCATAAAACTGACCCTAATTGCACCTCCGGCCAAAACCCTAGCCCAATCCTAATCATAGCTCCAACCCTAACTGCCGTACACGCAGAATAAAAGTGACAATATCTATAGAATAATGTCACGGAACCTAATGTTTTGGATCCTGTTTAACTCAGTAACTAATGTATTTAAAAATAAATACTTGTCTAGTACTCAGTACTGTTGTATTTATTAAAGAACATCAAATGAAAAACACAAAACCTTGTTTGGGGCTGAAGTAAAAGGTCTCGTAGGTACCGCTGCGCTACAGATTTGTTGTTACTTTTTTAAGGAAGTGACGTATTATGTTGGGAACTAAACTACATACGTAATCAAAAAAAGAGAAATTTTTTTCAGCACATTTTCATTTTGGAATACTCTCTGATTGAGTATACTCTCTGGAACAAGTTTTCTTTTCTAAATATAAAAACTAACATTAGAACTGTATACATCGTGGTTTACAAGATTTTCTAAGTAGATTTAGATCTATTTGTTTTAATTATAAAGGTTCTTTGATTCGTTTCGAGGAACTTTGACCACAGCGGGGTTTGACCATATGGGGTTTGACAGTAGGGGGTCGACCATAGGGGGTTTTACCATAGGGGTTTGACCATAGGGCCAATATAATTACGCCATTTTTAAATCCACGTTCAGTTAATCTTGACCATAAATGGACAAAGTGAAAGATGTAGACAAAACACCCGTGGTCAAATCAGCTGTGGTCAACGCTCTTTGATTCAAATCTCGCTTTTATCAACGTGTTGAATTTCGGAGTTAGTGTTTAGCTGTGCATGTTGTAAGAGAGATGGAATTTAAATGTTTTAAAGTTTAATTATTGCATTATGCTACTTCACATGACAAGAGTGAAGTAATATAAAATGGATGCATTCTCGGCAAATATTTCTGTTTATAGGGTTTGGACAACATGACTTTGACAGAGAGGACATGAGTGTAAATCAACGGACATGACTTGGGTACATAACACTTGACTTTGACGCATCAGATGTGACTGTAAAACAATATATATGACTAAGACACTACCAGCACATTACTTTCATCTTTTCCTTTCGACTGTTTAGACCCTTTCTGTGGAGGAGAATAAAGGGGAGAAAAGAAAATTGTCTCTGTTTTGTTCTAATAGTTTTTTTTTTAAATTTTAAAATAACTAAATGTTAGTATTTGACAAAATGATGCATACACGCATCTCATAGTTGGAAATTAAATTTGTTAAAACTGTGTCTAGTGCTATAAAAAAAAATTAGTAAAAAAGTGTTGGTTCTTTGGTTCTTTTATGACTTCTCTACATACTCAATGTAAATGTCACTTAACACACCATTTATCACCGAAACCCCATAGTACATCAACCAACAACATACCTGTCACAAATACACAACCTGTCACCAACTCAACATCTGTAACCAACACCCCATCTGTCACCAACACCCCACTTGTCACTAACACCCCATCTGTCACCAACCTTTGACCAACACCCCATCTGCCACCAACACCCCATCTGTCACCAACAACCCATCTGTCACCAACACCCCATCTGTCATCAACACCCCATCTGTCACCAACACACCATCTGTCATCAACACCCCATCTGTCACCAACCTGTCACCAACACCCCATCTGTCACCAACACCCCATCTGTCACCAACAACCCATCTGTCACCAACACCCCATCTGTCACCTACCTGTCACCAACACCACATCTGTCACCAACACCCCATCTGTCACCAACACCCCATCTGTCACCAACACCACATCTGTCACCAACACCCCATCTGTCACCAACCTGTCACCAACACCCCATCTATCACCAACCTGTCACCAACACCCCATCTGTCACCAACACCCCATCTGTCACCAACAACCCATCTGTCACCAACACCCCATCTGTCACCTACCTGTCACCAACACCACATCTGTCACCAACACCCCATCTGTCACCAACACCCCATCTGTCACCAACACCACATCTGTCACCAACACCCCATCTGTCACCAACACCCCATCTGTCACCAATCTGTCACCAACACCCCATCTGTCACCAACACCCCATCTGTCACCTACCTGTCACCAACACCCCATCTGTCACCAACACCCCATCTGTCACCAACACCCCATCTGTCACCACCACCCATCTGTCACCAACACCACACCTGTCACCAACACCCCATCTGTCACCAACCTGTCACCAACACCCCATCTGTCACCAACACCCCATCTGTCACCAACACCACATCTGTCACCAACACCCCATCTGTCACCAACACCCCATCTGTCACCAACACCCCATCTGTCACCAACCTGTCACCAACACCCATCTGTCACCAACACCCCATCTGTCACCAACACCCCATCTGTCATCAACACCCCATCTGTCACCAACACCCCATCTGTCACCAACACCCCATCTGTCACCTACCTGTCACCAACATCCTATCTGTCACCAACACCCCATCTGTCACCTATCTGTCACCAACACCCCATCTGTCACCAACCTGTCACCAACACCCATCTGTCACCAACACCCCATCTGTCACCAACACCCCATCTATCACCAACACCCCATCTGTCACCATAACCCCATCTATCACCAACACCCCATCTGTCACCAACACCCCATCTATCACCAACACCCCATCTGTCACCAACACCCCATCTGTCACCAACACCCCATCTGTCACCAACACCCCATCTGTCACCAACCTGTCACCAACACCCATCTGTCACCAACACCCCATCTGTCACCAACACCCATCTGTCACCAACACCCCATCTGTCACCAACACCCCATCTGTCACCAACACCCCATCTGTCACCAACACCCCATCTGTCACCAACATCCCATCTGTCACCAACATACCTGATCTTTATCCGACGTCGGCTTGTACACAATGGCGCTCCATGCCACACCAGCTGCTGAGGTTGAGCTTAAGTAGGTGATGGTGTGGATGTAGTGGGTAACGTACACCTGAAAACATAATCAGACGTATGTAAATATATGTCTCCCACACCCCCAAACATATTGAAACATATAGATCTACCTGCTAATATGATATGTGGCGCGTACCTGCAGACATTATGAAAGTATACCTGCACATATATGCCTGTAAAATATACTCTCATGAACCGACCCTCATACTTCATTAATTTACAAACCCCCAGATCAGATTGATAAGTCTACATTATCCATTAATCCATGTACTTCAATTATTCGACTACCTACCTAAATTAATTGTTCATCCTACCTTATTAATTATCCCACCAACGTCATTTACTGTCCCACGTGCCTGATTAATTCTACCTACCGGATTAATTTAGTTTCCATCTCAATGATTGGCCTAACTGGTTAATTGACCTAAGTATATAAATTATTCGCCTAATAACGTCATTGATTGTCTGCCTTTATAAATTGCAATACATACCTCATTCGTTGTCCCACCTAAATCGCTAATTGTTCTACCTCATTAATTTCCCACTCAACTCATTAATTGCCTCACCTACCTGATTAATTTCTCCACCTAACTCATTAATTACTTCATTAATTCTCCCACCTACCTCATTTATTGTCCCACCTACCCCATCAATTGCCCCACCCACCTCATTAATTGTCCCACCTTCCTCATTAACTGCTCTCCGTCCTCATAAATAGTCCTAATAAACTCATTAATTGTCCCACCTACCTCATTCATTGAGCCATCTCTCAATTAATTGAGCCACTTACCTCATTATTTGTTCCACCTACCTCATTAATTGTGCCACCTAACTCATTAATGACGTCATTAATTGCCCCACCTACCTCATTAAGCGGGGAGATCATCTGTACATATCCCAGCCTCTGGATGGCGTCGAGAATGACGCGGACTCCCCCTGCCACCCGCAGCCCGTTGGTGGTGACGTAACGTGCGCTCATCTGGTAGACGACCGTGCCCTTGGGGTTGAGATTGTCTAGAGGGGTGGGGTGGGGGGGGGGTCAGAGAGATCATGAATGGGTTGTCAAGGTGGATAGTGTGTGTGGGGGGGGGAGGGAGGGGGTGTTGATAAGGTCAGCATGACATCGCACTGTAAGCTTCAATACTTCTGTGTTATCAAGGTGGATAGTGTCTGTGTGTGTGTGTGGGGGGGGGGGGGGGGTTGATAAGGTCAGCTAGACATCGCACTGTAAGCTTCAATACTTCTGTGTTATCGTATAGCGAGAATTAAGGCGACATTAGCAGGTACATTTCAAGATTACTTCATTTCCGTTGTTCGTATGATATCATCAGACTGGTGTTGGGCAACGTCATATATTAAAGCGTCACTGAGATTTTGTGGAGATGACGTTATCGAGTCTGGTTCAGTGACCTCCGCGAGTCAACCACTGGATGACGTCAATGCGCGTATGCTCGAGTGACCACACCCCGTTGATGTTGAGATGACGTCATCGAGTCAGTGCTTAATTTAAAATTTTATCGTCAGGATTTCATCGTTCTCATACACAGTGTAAAGATTACTATTACTAACACAAGCTAATAATAGAAATATACTGCGCGACAATGACGTGTGATATTATCCTCAGGAAAAAATTGGTAGTAGCAGACAAAGGGCAAAGGGTAAAGATGGTACCTTGGTTGAAGTTGGCGTTGCTCATAGGGCGTCGTGGTGATGGGGCTCTCATATCACCCCTAGACATGCCTCCAGGTGAGGTGGTCTGTGTGATACACAGGTCATGTTAACACATCTAGGTCACATTTGTTTACACAAGTAGGTCAAACCTCAACAAAAACCAGGAGAGATTTAACACAAGTAAAGGTCAAATTTAACACAAGTAAAGGTCGAATTTAATTCAAGTAAAGGTCGAATTTAAGACAAGTAAAGGTCGAATTTAACACAAGTAAAGGTCAAATTTAAGACAAGTAAAGGTCGAATTTAAGAAAAGTAAAGGTCGAATTTAACACAAGTAAAGGTCGAATTTAACACAAAGGTCGAATTTAACACAAGTAAAGGTCGAATTTAAGACAAGTAAAGGTCGAATTTAACACAAGTAAAGGTCGAATTTAACACAAGAAAAGGTCGAATTTCAGCATGAACAGGTCAACTTTGAGCAAAACTACAGGTAACACACAACAGATCAAATGACAACACAAAACTGTAGGTTTGAGGCAACACAGCATCAATGGACTTAAACTTACCTTAGTTCTGCTTGATGATTGATGGATTTAAATTTACCTTAGTTCTGCTTGATGATTGATAGATTTAAACTTACCTTAGTTCTGCTTGATGATTGATGGATTTAAGCTTACCTTAGTTCTGCTTGATGATTGGTGGATTTAAACTTACCTCAGTTCTGCTTGATGATTGATGGATTTAAACTTACCTCAGTTCTGCTTGATGATTGATGGATTTAAACTTACCTTAGTTCTGCTTGATGATTGATGGATTTAAACTTACCTTAGTTCTGCTTGATGATTGATGGATTTAAGCTTACCTTAGTTCTGCTTGATGATTGGTGGATTTAAACTTACCTTAGTTCTGTTTGATGATTGATGGATTTAAACTTATCTTAGTTCTGCTTGATGATTAATGGATTTAAGCTTACCTCAGTTCTGCTTGATGATTGATGGATTTAAATTTGCCTTAGTTCTGCTTGATGATTGATGGATTTAAACTTACCTTAGTTCTGCTTGATGATTGATGGATTTAAACTTATCTTAGTTCTGCTTGATGATTGATGGATTTAAGCTTACCTTAGTTCTGCTTGATAATTGATGGATTTAAGCTTACCTTAGTTCTGCTTGATGATTGGTGGATTTAAACTTACCTCAGTTCTGCTTGATGATCGATGGATTTAAACTTACCTCACTTCTGCTTGATGATTGGTAGATTTAAACTTACCTTAGTTCTGCTTAATGATTGGTAGATTTAAACTTACCTTAGTTCTGCTTGATGATCGATGGATTTAAGCTTACCTTAGTTCTGCTTGATGATTGATGGATTTAAGCTTACCTTAGTTCTGCTTGATGAGCGATGGATTTAAACTTACCTTAGTTCTGCTTGATGATCGATGGATTTAAGCTTACCTTAGTTCTGCTTGATGATCGATGGATTTAAACTTACCTTAGTTCTGCTTGATGATTGATGGATTTAAGCTTACCTTAGTTCTGCTTGATGATTGGTGGATTTGAACTTACCTTAGTTCTGCTTGATGATTGATGGATTTAAGCTTACCTTAGTTCTTCTTGATGATCGATGGATTAAAACTTACCTTAGTTCAGCTTGATGATTGATGGATTTAAGCTTACCTTAGTTCTGCTTGATGATTGATGGATTTAATCTTACCTTAGTTCTGCTTGATGATGGGTAGATTTAAACTTACCTTAGTTCTGCTTGATGATGGATGGATTTAAACTTACCTTAGTTCTGCTTGATGATGGATGGATTTAAACTTACCTTAGTTCTGCTTGATGATTGATAGATTTAAACTTACCTTAGTTCTGCTTGATGATGGATGGATTTAAACTTACCTTAGTTCTGCTTGATGATTGGTGGATTTAAACTTACCTTAGTTCTGCTTGATGATTGATGGATTTAATCTTACCTTAGTTCTGCTTGATGATTGATGGATTTAAACTTACCTTAGTTCTGCTTGATGATGGGTAGATTTAAGCTTACCTTAGTTCTGCTTGATGATTGATGGATTTAAACTTACCTTAGTTCTGCTCGATGATGGATACAAGCCTGGAGAGGTTCGCTTTTCCTTTGGCACTCCAAAAGATTTACCAGCGTCGCTCCTTTGTGAACTCGGAGCATCCCCTTGCTGGGGTGAGGGTGAGTTAACCTTCGTCTTAGACCTCGACTCTTTGCCTTTTCTCTTTTTCTTGGCGCCCACGTCCCCTACAGCGCCGTACATGTCGGCAGTGGAGTACCTCGATGTGCCGCGTGGGAAATAGCAGTCGTTCAAGGAAAACAGTTCTCGGTGGGGGTGGTGGACGGAGGTCGGAGATCTCGACCCCACAGCCCGCGGACAGTCCTCGGAGGAGCGGTAGTCCGAAGTTGGTTTCCGCGCGTCATTTTCCGACCCTTCGGAATTGTTCTGCGAGTTTAGTCCCGACCCGTCGGATTTGAGTTGCGCGCATCGGGTGGTATAACTTGCCAGCGGGCTGGTTCTTTCTGGCTTTTTGTTCTTGCAGCCGCAGTCTTTGATTTGAGTTCTCTCCGGGTTTTCTGCCGAGTTGAGACTCTGTCGAGATTTCAAACCCGTCGTGGAGTTGAATTTGGAATCCGTTGGTGCCCTCAGCCGCTCTTGGAACAAACCGTCGTCTGCTTTACTAAATCCGACCGTGGAGGACTTGAGGTATGTATCCTTCGGACGATTTGTTGATTCCAGACAACCTTCACTGGGGAGTTTGGACTGGGAGTTTTTGTAGCTAGATCTTGTGGACAGGGAGTCGTCTACGATCTTTGAGGGTTCTTCCCTCCGGCCGTATGCAATCGCTTCATTCGAGGGTGTACGCGATCTTGGAGCCCCCGCTTCCATCCGCCGAATAGATTCATCAGGTCTGATAGACTTTTTAAGGTTTTCTTTTGATTTGTCGATCGCTGAAACCCCCCGTACATAATCACTGACGATTTGACTCCCGTCTCCGTGGAAGCCTGGTTTACTGTGGTAGGGGGTGGAATCCATCTTGGATAAGTCTCCAACGCGGCTTGATATTTCTTGCAGTTTATCCTGGCCACTGGGTTTTAACGACGGCCCCATCTTATCAGAGCTATTGAGCCGGCTTGTGAAGTTCTGAGCCGAGCCGGTCTCCGTCTGGACGTTGGAATCCTTCAAGATAATCACAGTGTTCTGGGACGCATGCTTCTGTGTGATGTCGCCAAGAGAGGCGGCCTGAGCGGTAAAAACCTCAGCGCACTGATCATTCAAAGCCTGTGTGGCGTACCCCTGAGGCGACCTCACCTCGTACAGCCCGTCTTTATCTACGGCCAACTCCTTCACCAAGCCGGTCTTTTGTGTCGAGAGATTACGAGCGCTGAGGCTTTGCCCTGCAAGATGGCTGCCGGTTCTCGTCTTCAACCTACTTGTGTCCACCCGCACCGGCTCGTTTTCTGCTAGGCTGCTGCTGAAGGTTCGAAACTCTCGCGAGTCTTTAGTCCTACGTCGGATGGAGTCAGGTATCTCTTTACAAGCAACTCGTGATGTGAAAGACTTGGGTCGTAGTTCCTTGTCGCTGCTCTTCCACGCCCTAACGTTCTGGCTCTCTGAAGACTCCTGTCGCGAGCTCTCGTAATCTTCATCAGAAAGAAAACGCTGGGTGTCGCTCATGGGCGGCTTTCTGGCCGTCAAGCTCTGCTCGACGCTTCGGCTTGCGAGTTTGTGTCGCGATGGGGAGACACAATCGGGGGATGTTCGTGATGCCCTCCTAGAGAACTGCTCAGTGCATGCTTCTTCCTCCTCTCCCAAAGGAGTCGTCCACGATCTTCGGTCCGGCAAAGTGCCGTGTAAGACAGGATTACTCAAAGACTGACGGCTACAGGGGTTGTCTGTGTTTCTAGCATACACGCGAGCAGTGCGGTCTTTATGTCGGGGAGGTTTGAACAGATCCGTTTGGATGTTGTCACAGGAATACGAACTGATTGTTCGGTGCCTTCTTGAGGGCAGATCACCTTTGCTGAGCTGGCTGGTATAATCCGGGCAGAACGTGTTCTTCAAACGAGATTGCGTTCTCTTTTGGTTGATCTCTGTGAGGTCGTCGCTGTCGCCTTCCCCAGCAAGGCCATCGGGGTCGCTGTACGATCCTGGGATCTCACCGCTCCGGTGCTTGCTGCGGGGAATAGCACCCGACCCCGACTTATAGGCACGGGCTGTGTCTTTGGCATAGTACGAAGACAGGGCAATAACGTCATTTGGCGCCTTTTTCGAACGGCGCGAATCTTCCTGGCGAAGACAGGATAATGATATTTTTACTGGCAGCTTTTCTCTGTTTAAGAAATCCGCGCATTCGACAGTACGCGACATTGCAATCGGGTTCTGCCTGGTGCTTCGCCACGGCGAACTTGCACGTTCGCCCTGATGTTCTTCTGAAGTGCACGCCTCGTCCTCGTACACCCGCCTCTGCTCTCTCTTTGGTTTCAAATCACATTTCGACCTAGACATGCTTGTCACCTCTGCACATCTGCTTGACTTTGGCAAGCTCCTATCGTCCCAGCTGCAATCATCATCCAAGCTCCTGTGTGGAACATATTTCTGGCGTTTGTCTTTCACGGAGTACAAACAATCATCCGTGTAAGGCCCAGGATCGAGTTTTTTCCCCACAGTTCTGGAAACTTCTCGCATTATGCACTGGCTTCCGATCTCGTCACCGTATTTCCGTGCTGTATCCAGCGGGTATTTTGATTCTTCTTTCTCTGCGCAACTTTTGCGTACCGGCATCTGCTGTGCGTCATCTCGCGTGAGACACCTCCGTGAGGTTTTGGCGCTCTTGTCCTTCTCGCACTTGAACGGTAGCTTATACAGCTTCCCACTCTCCCAGAAAAACATCCGGCCAGTCTCCAACGCTTCCTTGTTAAACACGCGTTGATCGTAGACCAACGAGCGCTTTTCTGGCTTGAAAATGTTGCCGTCGTACTTGGAGGACGTGCAGGTCATCCTGTCTGTTTTCTGGAGGCTGTCGGAGTACTGTGTCTCCTGCTCTTTCATCGTCTTCGTCTGTGACGACGACCAGGCGCTTCTGGTGTTCTCGGTGTTGTAGTTCTCAGAACTGTGGGTGTCTACGTGTCTGGTCTCATCCGACTCCTTGTTCTTCTGCCACTGATCCGCCTGACCACACGCCTCGTCTTCTCCGATATTCCTCTCCTCTTCGATCTTAGTCAACATGTGGTTGCTCAACGACGTCACCTTGCTGTACCGACCAGACAACTTCCTACAACTTCCCTTCTCCCGTACAGTCCGGGCCTGCACTTGTACATCTTTAGTGTCCATTGCCTCTTCTTCATGCACAAGGGAGGGTCTTTCTTGCGGGTTGTTCGAACGTGCTTTGAGTTTCTCACTCGAGCTAGTGATGGAGTGAACACTTGCCGTCCTGTGGACGGACTTAAAATCATCCCCAACGGTGCTGGATTCGATGTTTCTCGAGCGTGACCTCAATTTCGTGCCACTCTCTCGCGGTCCTACTTGAGCGGATCTATACACCTTGGGTTCGTTTTGGCATTCCTCGTTCCTCTTGTTGGTGACGTTTTTGGCGGGGATGTCCGTGTTGGAGCTGCAATGCCTTCTGGTGTTGGCAGGCGAGGTTTGGCCCGTGGGCTGCCCGGACATTGCCCTAGGGTACGCCCCGCTTGCCGAGTTGGCGCTGGAGCTCCGCGAAGAAAAACTGCGAGGCGACTCACGTGTGGCTACGCGATGCATGTTCGTCTCGGCGCTTTTGAATTCCGACTCTCGTCGCTCGTCGTCTTCGGGGTTTGTCGGTTTGTTCCGGCATTGTTCGGAAGTAGTTGGTTTATTTTCGTGAAGCGCCGGTTTGCCCTGTCTCCCAGTCTGTTGACCTTTACCCTTTGACCCCACTCGGCTTGACACATCTCGTTTATCCTCCTCAATCATCGTCTTCTCACATTCCGCACGGCTTGACGACGGTTGATGCAGATTCCCCTCCCGCCGACGGCTCTGCTCGGCTGTACTGGGCTGCTGCTGGCTGCCGAGACCACTATCCTGAGCCTGTGAACACTTCCGGTCGTCTCGCGGTTCCTGAAACTCTATACACTGAAGGAGGTTTCTGGCGTTCTGTGACGGTTTCGAACCTCTGTCTTCCGAGACAGTGTTGCCCCGAGATTCCCTCGACTCGCAGTGTCTGGAATAGTGCGAGTCCGCTGCCCTCGATGCGCCGTCGTTCGATTCTGCGCAGGTGTGTTTGGTGGGCGGTTCCTTCTCCAAACTTCCGGAGGACCTGGAGCAGGGTTCAGATTTCCGGTGTCCGGTATCGTAGGTTAGCCTTGATCCGACGTCTGATATTGCTCGGTCTTTTACCATAGAGTTCCTCTCCCCCTCTTTGATACAGTTGGATAATGCTTCATGGTGAACCTAAAGAACGGTTGAAACTCACTTTAAATGGTCGGCAAGATTGATATAATTTAACATCATGAAAGCATAAAAGGTCAACAACATAAAACCCATATGTTGATAAACACTGGAAACCCTTAAATAAAACAATGGAAAGATGAACATGATGGCCCAAGCTGAACATAGAGAAAGTGTGTAAAGATCCGTGAAAATGTCCAACATCTCAAAATACATTAAGTTGTTGTAATTGTATCTGTGGTTTTTTTCCTGTATCAGGTATGTTCTGTTTGTCTAGTTTTGCCCTCCTTGTTAAAAAGGAGCTTACCTGTCTGATTTAATTATAGGCCAGACACCTAAATTTATGTCTCCCTCTTTGACCAGACACCTACCTATGTGTCTCCTTTGACCAGACACCTACCTATGTGTCTTCTTTAATCAGACACCTACCTGTATGTCACCTTTAATCAGGTACCTACCTGTGAGTCTACTTTAATCAGACACCTACCTGTATGTCACCTTTAATCAGACACCTACCTGTATGTCACCTTTAATCAGACACCTACCTGTGAGTCTACTTTGATCATACACCTACCTGTATGTCACCTTTAATCAGACACCTACCTGTGAGTCACCTTTATTCATACACCTACCTGTGAGTCACCTTTATTCATACACCTACCTGTGAGTCTAGTCCCTCCTTCCGTTCATGTTGCCTTGTCAACGAGGGTGTCCGAATCCCCTTCCCCTGTGGTTTTGATGCGTACTTGAGCCGAGGGCTATAATTCCCCGTGGTGCCACATTCCTCCACCGTCTTCCTGCTCTCTCCCCCCTGGTCTACTGGTCTGCTCCTAGAGCGGGCGGACCCACCGTTCGCGCTGCTCTTGACACGGTTGGACGGCTGTTTAGCCCTGCTGGCCTCGTAAATGGAAGGTTTTTCCGCGTGACTGCTTTTGTTACTCAATGTCAATGTATCCTGGTCAGACAAAAATGATTTTATAAAATTATCTTTACTTACTTGCAAAGTTAAATAATAACTGTAAATGTCGGTGAGTTAAACAAAATAAACCGGCAGTGATCTCCCCCTAAACTTTCTCGAATATTCTTATATAACTTGGAGTATAGACGTGATTTTTAATTACTTAAACTTTTAAAAATAGAATAGAAACTCATAAAAAAAAGAATTGCTCACCAAGCGAACACCGAATAAAGATGTATATAATAGTGCGCAATATTATTAGTACTTTATAAATTCACATGCGTTTTTTTTTTGAAAAATCGGAAATAGCGTACATTAGTACTTCCGGTCAACTGAAATTACTCAAAATTTTATAGAAGATAAAGATATAGATCTTTTACTTAGATGTGAAATTTCATTTATCTATCTGAAATAGTACTCAAGTTATAGGCTTTTGAAAAATTCAAAGTAGAAAAAGTACCACTTCCGGTTATCGGAAATCGCTCAAAAGTTGAAATGGATCTACGATTTTGATAAAATACTTATATATAAAATTTCATCAACCTAGCTGTAACAGTATTCAAGTTATCGTGTTTACACACACACAGACAGACAAATAGACACACACACACACACACATAGGCATACGGACAAGATTGCAAAATTATGTTTTTCCGTATCAGTGAGGTGTAAAACGTTGAGATTTGTAAAAAAAAATTTTTTTGCACGATTACAAGACACGATATACGAGAAAGTAAAAAAGGAACTTGGGTTTGGTTTAAGCAGTAACAAAGGGTCTCTATGGCTCTCGAGAATGTATGAAGGCGAGATTTCTGCTTTTTAAAAATTCTAACTGCAACAAATAAGAAATTAAATGATCGATTGTACAGGGTCATCAGTATACACATTAACGCAAAAGTATTAAGACGCCTGTTTAAGTTATTATATTTTCTGTGCTGTTATATATTTTTTAAACCGTTTGGTTTATGTGTTGTGTTGAGTGCTGGGATTGAACATTTGGGTTTTATAGCTTTACACAGGTCATCAACAACAAATTAGCTGGCTGCGCAGTGATGCGTGAAGAAAAATATCAGCAGACCGATGAAAGTACAGCTTGACGTTTAGCAGCTAATGTGTGCGTGAGTGTGGGTGTGTGTGTGTTAGTTATGTAAAACGTGTGTGGACATATTAAAAATGTGTATGGTCGTGTATGTACGTCAACGTATATGTAACCCTAACCCCACTGTCAATAAACCCCCTGAATATTACCCCCCTGCCCCCCACCCCAGACGCTAAAGAATACTGACACAAACCGTAATCCCAAACCTAGACCTATAACTAACTTTAACCATAGCCCTAATGCTAGCCCAAAAACTTAACCTATATCTAACTCTAAGCGGTTAACTATATCTAACCCTAACCCTTAACTTAACTTTAACTACCCTTAACCCTAACATTTCCTCATTGCATCTATCCCTAAATGACCGGGGGAGGGGTAATGTCCGGGTGTGTTTGAGTGGGTAAGTGTCCTGCTTCCTTAGGTAAACGTGTGATACTACTTGAATGGTTCTAGGTATGTTGGAGTCGACGTGTGAGAATCTACATATTATTTGAGAGTCTGCGCTTACAATGAGAGCTAGTTGCTTGTGTTTGTGCGTGCGCGCGTGATTGTGTATTAAACTAGCCGTGCGATTGTGTGCGACATTGGCGTGCGATTGTGTACGACAATGCGCGTGCGACAATGCACAATCAAGTGCCTTAAAACGGCTTGTAACACTCACACTTGTTCCCTCCAATCTGTAGCAGTTGCTGCCCTTTGCTCGTGAGTACTCACTGACCTGCCAGGAGCAAGAGAAATTACAGATTAACGTACCATCAATTCAGTCACGTACGTGCTGTAAGAGATATGCGTATAGTCAGGATACATCTTGGGCGTCGTGGGAAAGCGTATGGATGCTAACTCCGAAAGTCCGGAGTTCGGACCCCGGGTAGGTGAGGTAGTTAAGGACAGAAACCTATCTAGGAGAGACAACTCTAGAATAAGACAACTGCTACCCGTTAGTTCTAAGGGTGGGCGAATATTAAGTAGCACAGAAAACAAATCGTAGTTGTATTAAGCGATACTTAATTTTCTCGGAGAAAGCCCACTTCATTATTAAGACTATGAATAAGTCATGTCTCAAATTTTATTATTTAATAATGAAATCTAATTATCTAAATTGCTGCATCATTTTTACGACACATGCAATGTTAAAAAAATAACTTCCTTGTATAAATATGTGCAAGTAATGCTAGCACATATTCCCACTTGTAAACCTTGAAATGCTAGATCACCTGTAGACCACCTGATCCAGTACTCACCGTGAAACTGTGTAATGCTAGTACCTATAAACCATGTAATGCTAGTACCTATAAACCATGTAATGCTAGTACCTATAAACCATGTAATGCTAGTACCTATAAACCATGTAATGCTAGTACCTATAAACCATGTAATGCTAGTACCTATAAACCATGTAATGCTAGTACCTATAAACCATGTAATGCTAGTACCTATAAACCATGTAATGCTAGTACCTGTAAACCATGTAATGCTAGTACCTATAAACCATGTAATGCTAGTACCTGTAAACCTTGTAATGCTAGTACCTATAAACCATGTAATGCTAGTACCTGTAAACCTTGTAATGCTAGTATCTATAAACCATGTAATGCTAGTACCTATAAACCATGTAATGCTAGTACCTATAAACCATGTAATGCTAGTACCTGTAAACCTTGTAATGCTAGTACCTATAAACCATGTAATGCTAGTACCTATAAACCATGTAATGCTAGTACCTATAAACCATGTAATGCTAGTACCTATAAACCATGTAATGCTAGTACCTATAAACCATGTAATGCTAGTACCTATAAAACATGTAATGCTAGTACCTATAAACCATGTAATGCTAGTACCTATAAACCATGTAATGCTAGTACCTATAAACCATGTAATGCTAGTACCTATAAACCATGTAATGCTAGTACCTATAAACCATGTAATGCTAGTACCTATAAACCATGTAATGCTAGTACCTATAAAACATGTAATGCTAGTACCTATAAAACATGTAATGCTAGTACCTATAAACCATGTAATGCTAGTACCTATAAACCATGTAATGCTAGTACCTATAAAACATGTAATGCTAGTACCTATAAACCATGTAATGCTAGTACCTATAAACCATGTAATGCTAGTACCTATAAACCATGTAATGCTAGTACCTATAAACCATGTAATGCTAGTACCTATAAAACATGTAATGCTAGTACCTATAAACCATGTAATGCTAGTACCTATAAACCATGTAATGCTAGTACCTATAAACCATGTAATGCTAGTACCTATAAACCATGTAATGCTAGTACCTATAAACCATGTAATGCTAGTACCTATAAACCATGTAATGCTAGTACCTATAAACCATGTAATGCTAGTACCTATAAACCATATAATGCTAGTACCTATTCCACCTGTAAACCTTGTAATGCTAGTACCTATAAACCATGTAATGCTAGTACCTATAAACCATGTAATGCTAGTACCTATAAACCATGTAATGCTAGTACCTATAAACCATGTAATGCTAGTACCTATAAACCATGTAATGCTAGTACCTATAAACCATGTAATGCTAGTACCTATAAACCATGTAATGCTAGTACCTATAAACCATATAATGCTAGTACCTATAAACCATGTAATGCTAGTACCTATAAACCATGTAATGCTAGTACCTATAAACCATGTAATGCTAGTACCTATTCCCACCCGTAAACCTTGAAATGCTAGATCACCTGTAGACCACCTGATTCACTACTCACCTGTCTCCAGCCAAAGTTCCCATATTTATGCCGCCGCCGTTTCGATCTGGAATGACTGTTTTGTGTCTGTAGAGGAATCATGAAGTAACTTTAGACGAATGGCATCAGGTATTATTTGTATACATGTTATACCAAACTGCGTCAAAGATAGGTACACAGAGTGGGTCTTGTGGGTCAAAGTGGGTGTTGTTTTAAGAAGTGGGTCTAGTTTTACTAAGTGGGTCTTTTTTTAAGGTTTGTGAACTGTACAAATTTGGGCAAGTTATTTACTAATGTTGTATTGTTGTTTTCAGTGTACAAATTTGGTCAAGTTGTTTACTCAAGTTGTATTGTTGTTTTCAGTGTACAGAAAAGGTCTATTTAAAGAATGTTAGTTGAATTAACTCTCTGTGCGGTCCTGCCCTCACCCCCACCAAGCTGCTCACCGACGTGCTTGCTGAATGTTTCTCCCCCTCCCCTCACACCACTCCCTGCTCACCGACGTGCTTGCTGAATGTTTCTCCCCCTCCCCTCACACCACTCCCTGCTCACCGACGTGCTTGCTGAATGTTTCTCCCCCTCCCCTCACACCACTCCCTGCTCACCGACGTGCTTGCTGAATGTTTCTCCCCCTCCCCTCACACCACTCCCTGCTCACCGACGTGCTTGCTGAATGTTTCTCCCCCTCCCCTCACACCACTCCCTGCTCACCGACCTGCTTGCTGAATGTTTCTCCCCCTCCCCTCACACCACTCCCTGCTCACCGACGTGCTTGCTGAATGTTTCTCCCCCTCCCCTCACACCACTCCCTGCTCACCGACGTGCTTGCTGAATGTTTCTCCCCCTCCCCTCACACCACTCCCTGCTCACCGACCTGCATGCTGAATGTTTCTCCCCCTCCCCTCACACCACTCCCTGCTCACCGACGTGCTTGCTGAATGTTTCTCCCCCTCCCCTCACACCACTCCCTGCTCACCGACGTGCTTGCTGAATGTTTCTCCCCCTCCCCTCACACCACTCCCTGCTCACCGACGTGCTTGCTGAATGTTTCTCCCCCTCCCCTCACACCACTCCCTGCTCACCGACGTGCTTGCTGAATGTTTCTCCCCCTCCCCTCACACCACTCCCTGCTCACCGACGTGCATGCTGAATGTTTCTCCCCCTCCCCTCACACCACTCCCTGCTCACCGACGTGCTTGCTGAATGTTTCTCCCCCTCCCCTCACACCACTCCCTGCTCACCGACGTGCTTGCTGAATGTTTCTCCCCCTCCCCTCACACCACTCCCTGCTCACCGACGTGCTTGCTGAATGTTTCTCCCCCTCCCCTCACACCACTCCCTGCTCACCGACGTGCTTGCTGAATGTTTCTCCCCCTCCCCTCACACCACTCCCTGCTCACCGACGTGCTTGCTGAATGTTTCTCCCCCTCCCCTCACACCACTCCCTGCTCACCGACGTGCTTGCTGAATGTTTCTCCCCCTCCCCTCACACCACTCCCTGCTCACCGACGTGCTTGCTGAATGTTTCTCCCCCTCCCCTCACACCACTCCCTGCTCACCGACGTGCTTGCTGAATGTTTCTCCCCCTCCCCTCACACCACTCCCTGCTCACCGACGTGCTTGCTGAATGTTTCTCCCCCTCCCCTCACACCACTCCCTGCTCACCGACGTGCTTGCTGAATGTTTCTCCCCCTCCCCTCACACCACTCCCTGCTCACCGACGTGCTTGCTGAATGTTTCTCCCCCTCCCCTCACACCACTCCCTGCTCACCGACGTGCTTGCTGAATGTTTCTCCCCCTCCCCTCACACCACTCCCTGCTCACCGACGTGCTTGCTGAATGTTTCTCCCCCTCCCCTCACACCACTCCCTGCTCACCGACGTGCTTGCTGAATGTTTCTCCCCCTCCCCTCACACCACTCCCTGCTCACCGACGTGCTTGCTGAATGTTTCTCCCCCTCCCCTCACACCACTCCCTGCTCACCGACGTGCTTGCTGAATGTTTCTCCCCCTCCCCTCACACCACTCCCTGCTCACCGACGTGCTTGCTGAATGTTTCTCCCCCTCCCCTCACACCACTCCCTGCTCACCGACGTGCTTGCTGAATGTTTCTCCCCCTCCCCTCACACCACTCCCTGCTCACCGACGTGCTTGCTGAATGTTTCTCCCCCTCCCCTCACACCACTCCCTGCTCACCGACGTGCTTGCTGAATGTTTCTCCCCCTCCCCTCACACCACTCCCTGCTCACCGACGTGCTTGCTGAATGTTTCTCCCCCTCCCCTCACACCACTCCCTGCTCACCGACGTGCTTGCTGAATGTTTCTCCCCCTCCCCTCACACCACTCCCTGCTCACCGACGTGCTTGCTGAATGTTTCTCCCCCTCCCCTCACACCACTCCCTGCTCACCGACGTGCTTGCTGAATGTTTCTCCCCCTCCCCTCACACCACTCCCTGCTCACCGACGTGCTTGCTGAATGTTTCTCCCCCTCCCCTCACACCACTCCCTGCTCACCGACGTGCTTGCTGAATGTTTCTCCCCCTCCCCTCACACCACTCCCTGCTCACCGACGTGCTTGCTGAATGTTTCTCCCCCTCCCCTCACACCACTCCCTGCTCACCGACGTGCTTGCTGAATGTTTCTCCCCCTCCCCTCACACCACTCCCTGCTCACCGACGTGCTTGCTGAATGTTTCTCCCCCTCCCCTCACACCACTCCCTGCTCACCGACGTGCTTGCTGAATGTTTCTCCCCCTCCCCTCACACCACTCCCTGCTCACCGACGTGCTTGCTGAATGTTTCTCCCCCTCCCCTCACACCACTCCCTGCTCACCGACGTGCTTGCTGAATGTTTCTCCCCCTCCCCTCACACCACTCCCTGCTCACCGACGTGCTTGCTGAATGTTTCTCCCCCTCCCCTCACACCACTCCCTGCTCACCGACGTGCTTGCTGAATGTTTCTCCCCCTCCCCTCACACCACTCCCTGCTCACCGACGTGCTTGCTGAATGTTTCTCCCCCTCCCCTCACACCACTCCCTGCTCACCGACGTGCTTGCTGAATGTTTCTCCCCCTCCCCTCACACCACTCCCTGCTCACCGACGTGCTTGCTGAATGTTTCTCCCCCTCCCCTCACACCACTCCCTGCTCACCGACGTGCTTGCTGAATGTTTCTCCCCCTCCCCTCACACCACTCCCTGCTCACCGACGTGCTTGCTGAATGTTTCTCCCCCTCCCCTCACACCACTCCCTGCTCACCGACGTGCTTGCTGAATGTTTCTCCCCCTCCCCTCACACCACTCCCTGCTCACCGACGTGCTTGCTGAATGTTTCTCCCCCTCCCCTCACACCACTCCCTGCTCACCGACGTGCTTGCTGAATGTTTCTCCCCCTCCCCTCACACCACTCCCTGCTCACCGACGTGCTTGCTGAATGTTTCTCCCCCTCCCCTCACACCACTCCCTGCTCACCGACGTGCTTGCTGAATGTTTCTCCCCCTCCCCTCACACCACTCCCTGCTCACCGACGTGCTTGCTGAATGTTTCTCCCCCTCCCCTCACACCACTCCCTGCTCACCGACGTGCTTGCTGAATGTTTCTCCCCCTCCCCTCACACCACTCCCTGCTCACCGACGTGCTTGCTGAATGTTTCTCCCCCTCCCCTCACACCACTCCCTGCTCACCGACGTGCTTGCTGAATGTTTCTCCCCCTCCCCTCACACCACTCCCTGCTCACCGACGTGCTTGCTGAATGTTTCTCCCCCTCCCCTCACACCACTCCCTGCTCACCGACGTGCTTGCTGAATGTTTCTCCCCCTCCCCTCACACCACTCCCTGCTCACCGACGTGCTTGCTGAATGTTTCTCCCCCTCCCCTCACACCACTCCCTGCTCACCGACGTGCTTGCTGAATGTTTCTCCCCCTCCCCTCACACCACTCCCTGCTCACCGACGTGCTTGCTGAATGTTTCTCCCCCTCCCCTCACACCACTCCCTGCTCACCGACGTGCTTGCTGAATGTTTCTCCCCCTCCCCTCACACCACTCCCTGCTCACCGACGTGCTTGCTGAATGTTTCTCCCCTTCCTCCCCCTGCCAGCGACACCTCCGCCGATGCGGTCTGCACACTTCCGGTTCCTTCACGGTGATGAGGTCAGACCTGTCTCAGATAAAATAGGTCAAGGTCATTCTTTTCGTTTTCACAAAACGCAAAAAAAAAAACCCATCAAGGTCCTAGCTTAAACAGCCAGTCGCATACAATTTTATTGTTAATTTTAATCCAAAAGTTGTTTTTCTTCTAACTTTAACTATTAATGCATTTGTTTTCAAGTTTAGCGGGTACTCAAAAATGTATATCAATTCGTAATAGAATTGAAAATCTATCTAGGTATGTATGTGAAAGTAAATGGAAATATTTTACAATGAAACTTAAATTCATTTTCGTTTTAACAGAAAATAGATTTAATGAGTGTTCAAATTTGACCTACCCAAAAAACTCAAAACACCGACTCCACCAACAAACTCAAACACCGACTCCACCATCAAACCCAAACACCGACTCCACCAACAAACTCAAACATCAACTCCACCAACAAACCCAAAATCAACTCCACCAACAAACAAACACACAGTATTTACCCAATCTCGATAATCTCCGTTGTCCTTCTCTCCCCTCCTGTCCCCTTTACTTTCTTCTTCCCCGGTACGTCCAACGGGATATTGACCGTGTACACTGCCATCTTAGGCGACCCCTGGCACAGGGAGGTTTCCGCTTGACACACCTGGACGTCCTCTTGAGATACCTCCCCATCATTCAGCGTGTATGACGTTTCACTAGTCAAAGAATTCGCGCACTGCTTCTCACACGCCGACGCATGCGCGGAATGCTTCCTCTGATGCATACGTCTACCCCCGCTAGTTGACGTCAAGATGGACACAAGTGGTCTATTTCGGTGTGGCTTTTTGTGAAGATAATGACTCTTGTTTTTGGAGTCGTAGACGCTGTTTAAAATACGCGCAGAGAAAAGAGGACGATCTTTCTGCGGGGAGGTTTTCCGTGATCTAGATCCCACGTTGTAGATTTGTTTCGTTTTGCTGACGTAGACGGTGGCGGACCCCGCGCCACGGCCGGTCCTCTCCTTGCAGTAGATCGTATCGGAGATGTCCTCAACGGCGGGTACCACCGCGTTGCCGGCGTGGTTGATGCCGGACCTGTCGTCGTCCCCGTGGGTGCCGGGGGTCGGGTCCGGGAAGTTTTCAAACTCGAGGTCCGTCTCGCTGCGGAGGCGTGGCTTCACCTGTGACGTCGTGTAACAATTAAAATAATGGCCAAAGTCTCAATTGTGAACAGTGTTTCTTTCAGGGGGGGGGGGAAGGGGAGGGACTTAAAACTTTTAGGGGAGGGAAGACTAAATTTTCAGTATTAAAGTATATATTGTTTTATAAAAATTCTATTTCATCGTATGGAAAAGCAGATCTGTAATTATTTGTAGAAATTCTCCACACGCACACATGACAGCTACTCTAACTAGATTCACCAGCAAAAGAAAACGCCCTCCTACATCGCTGAGCGCCATCCTTGCATGTGAGATACCCTCCAACCCCCACCTCGCCTGTGCGCTACCCCCCCCTCCATCTTTGAGCCACCCCACCTGTGGGCCACCCTCCAACCCCCACCCCACCTTTAAACCACCCCACCTAACAGCCACCCCACCTAACAGCCACCCCCACCTGTCAGCCACCCCACCTGTCTCCCAGCCTCACCTGTTTAGAATTACTAGACGTGGCGGTGCTGGTGGTACAGCTGGTCCCGTCCGTCTTGACGGTACAGTTGGTGTTCCTGGGCCGGGCCTGACGCTCAAACATGGCATCCAGAGGGGAGCCCTTTCTGCTCTCATAGACGGTCGTCTCGCTGCCATAGAGGTCCTGTGTTGGGCCATGCAAGAAACAATCAACTTGTACTGAACACTATAGTCTTATGGGTGAGGACTCGCTGCCATAGAGGTCCTATGTGGGGGCATAAAATAAACAATCAACTTGTACTGAACACTATAGTCTTATGGGTGAGGACTCGCTGCCATAGAGGTCCTATGTGGGGGCATGCAAGAATTTATCAACCTGTACGTCCATCTATAGCCTATTGGGTTAGTACCCGCTGCTATAGAGGTCCTGTGTGGGGGGCATGCAAGAATTTATCAACTTGTAGGTACCTAATGGGTTAGGGTTATCGTTACAGTTAGTACTCGCTTCCATAGAGTTCTTGTGTGGGAGTTTGCAATCCTTCATCAAGCTGTACGTCTCCCTAAAGCCTAATTTGCTAGGACGCTGATATAGAGGTCCTATGTGGGAGCATGTAAGAATTTATCAACCTGTACGTCCCTCTGTAGCCTTTTAGGTTAGGACTCGCTGCCATAGAGGTCCTGTGTGGGGGCATGCAAGAATTTATCAACTTGTAGGTACCTAATGGGTTAGGGTTATCGTTACAGTTAGTACTCGCTTCCATAGAGTTCTTGTGGGGGAGTTTGCAATCCTTCATCAAGCTGTACGTCTCCCCGTGAACTAACAGCTTCACATCTATAACCATGCTACACTCGTTTGGTTTTAAGACTAATGCTTTTGGAGATATAGGCTTGATCATTTAATTAAAGGTCTGATTGACGCTTAATGTTGATACTTGTGCTTAGTAACATTAATATGAAGGCCATTGGCTAGCAACATTTAGTTGGGGGACAGTTGACTGGGGACTGTTTGCCATTAAACCAATGATCCAAAAAGGGTTTACTATAGTTTCTACCGACCTTAAGAGAGGGCGCTTCGCTCGACCTTGACCTTCTGGATAGCTTTGGGTCGAGGGAAATTTTCATGTCGTCATAGGAGGGAGGCCGGAAGTGCCTGGAAATGTTTTGTGTTTCTGGTGAATGCTGGGACATTGCAGAACTTCAACAGGCACAAACGATGATATCAATTGTTTTACAAAACAGACATGTGTTTTTTGTTGTTTTGTTTTTTAGGGGGGGGGGTTGTCATACACAAGTGTTGGAGGGGGGGGTGTCATACACAAGTTTGGGGATGGTGTCATTTAACAAAGACCAGGCTGAATGCTGCAGTTATAGTCAGGGATTGGCAGGGAGGGGGTGGGTGTGGAAGGAGGTATTAAAAAATATTACAAGACAGCTACGCAAGGAGGGTGGGTATGGAGAAGGCTAGGGGGTTAGGTAGGAGTAAGGGGGATAAGAGGTCTACATGGGAGGGAGGAGGAGGGAGGAGGTACTCACGAGACCCAGCTGTATTCCTTAGACCGACTGCGGGGTTTGCGGGTCAGATCCTTCTCGCTCGCCTCTGAAAATGGACGTAGTTTGCGGCTCAGATCCTTCTCGCTTGCCTCTGAAAATGGACGTGGTTTGTGGGTCACATCCTTCTCACTGGCCTCTGAAAATGGACGCTGGGTGAGACCGTTCTTGTAGCGAGGCGAGACGATCGTGTCGAAGGAAGGGCGGTAGCTCGGGTCTTTGTCGTTGCTGCGGCTTTTCTCGTACCTAGGGGAGGGCACATTGTGTGAGTGGTCGGAGCACTGAATGAAGGGAGGGCACATTGTGTGAGGTTCGGGGCAGTGAAAGAGGAAATGTATGAGGGGTTGGGGCACTGAATGAGGGGAGGTGTGTGAGGAATCGTGGCAATGAATGAGATGAGGTGTTTGAGGGGTTGGGGCACTGGATGAGGGGAGGGCACATTGTGTGAGCGATCAGGGCACTGAATGGGTCGGGGCACTGGATTAGGGGAGGTGTGTGAGGGGGCGGGGCACTGAATGAGGGGACAAAAAATTAAATATTTGATTCAGATAAAAAAAATTCATAATTAAATTAGCTCCCAGCACCTTCCCCGGAGGTTTCAACTGGGACCCCCAATCCCCCAACAAACCTTTATTGTAAATAATCAAACTTCAAATAACATTTGTATATAAACCGCTATAGTAACGAGTTTTTAAAAGCAAAAGTTATCCTAATTTTTAAAATGCCACACACATTTTTCGCCAGCTGTAACAATAAATGCATTACGCGCTAAAAAAATATTGAAACGACTTTAAAAAAAATCAATTTATGTATAGCCTAAAAAGGTATTATTATGTCGCTGGTATTTGCTAATAAAAGAAAATTTATACGAATATTTCCGTCTCTCGTTAGCCTATGCCCCGAGTTATAAATAACTTTTTAAATAGCTTCATGAACACCGCTCACTTGTTGAATGGTGATATTTATTGTAATTACCTCCCGTTTTGTTATTGAATAAAATAATGTGTGAATTAATTTTATAAAGGCTAATACAATATCTAGTTCAATTTTCTAGTGTTGCGACTATTTTTGGAGTGTAAAAGAGATAGACCCAAACAGATACATTGAGATTTGACTAAAAACCTTCACAACAGCAAACAAATGATGTGTCCTAAAAACGTATATGATAAAAACAAGAACTAACACCATTTAAAAAACAAAACAAAATAAAACGTATAAAAACAATAATAAAAGGATTTTAAATGAACTTAAAATAAGAAAACAATTTCTTTTTTTTAAAAATAAAAGCATAGTACGCTCTTAAAATCTTTTTGATTTTAGCGACCAGTGTTTTTAAAAAAACAAATCAAGTTTTTTTTTTCTGTTTTACTTTCCTATTTCAGTGTATTTAAAAACATATTACTGATTCATTCATTTTCTATCTTTTAGTATTTAGATTTTGTAACTCTACAAGAATAGTAAAAAACTATTTAAATTTTTTTAAAAAAAAAAGCTCCCCCCTCAGACAGACAGACAGACAGACAGACAGACAGACAGACAGACAGACAGACAGACAGACAGACAGACAGACAGACAGACAGACACACAGACAGACAGACAGACAGACAGACACACAGACAGACACACAGACAGACACACATACAGACAGACAGAGACAGACAGACAGACACACAGAAAGACACACATACAGACAGACAGACACACACACAGACAGACAGACAGACACACAGATAGACAGACAGCCACACAGACAGACAGACAGACAGTCACACAGACACACAGACAAACAGACACAACCTTCTATGCTATGATCTACCTCCACGGCCGCTTGTTGGTGCCTGTCTCCAGATAGCTCGAGCTCGACTTACAGTGTGAATTACACTGACTGACAGCACCGCCACTATTCGGCCTGCACTGACTCATCCCCTTGACAGCACTCTCCGTCTTGCACTGACCAGTAGAATCACCACTCTTCGGCCTCGACTGACCAATCGCAGTGCCACTCTGCGCCTTGCCCTGACCGGTAGAATTGACATTCCTGGGCTTGCTCTGACCGATGTTGGTGCTGCTTCTGACCTTGCTCTGACCGGCAGCGATGTGAGGCTTGGACTGACCGATGGCCGTGGCGCTGTGAAACTTGGTACAGCTGCCGTCACTGTCGTACTGGGCACTGCTGGAGCTGGGCTGGGAGTCGATGGTTCTGGGAGCTGCGACTCCTGGGAAAGATAAACAAAAAAAAACACACAACAGAAAATGTCACGTGCAATGTTTTAAAAGGACTATTGGTAGTAGGGATGGTGTGGCCTAGCGGTAGAGAGATAGGCAGCTAACTCGAAAGTTTCGAGTTCGAATCCGGGTTAAAGTCAGATAAGAGGCCATGTGACCACCCAGCTCTGATGGTACCTGACTCAGATTAGGAAAAGCAAAGACGGCTGGGCATAGTGCTGACCACACTATCCCTTCATTCACCGATGTCCCTGAAGCAGATTAATTCTACCTCATCTGCCCCGTGTGTCTTGGGCACGAAAGGGAAAAGATGATGAGAGGGTGATTGGTTGTAGAAGGACAAAATCGAAAGTGGGTATAGATTGGACACACCTTGCGTAACCCAACTAGCAACAACACCAGACAGGCACTAGATTGGAATCCCAAAGAAATCCCCCATTGTCTTGGGCACGAAAGGTAATAAAAGATGATGAATGTCTTAATTAAACGTGACATTTTAACTTTTTATTTTGACGTTTAATACATTCTCTTTAAAAAATTAAATAAAAAATTAAATAAAATTAACAAAACCTTAAAGAGTGTATATTATTATCAAATATACAGGTCATCAGATGACCTTGAACTGTCGACCTACCAGCACCTTTCTCACGTGACCTTGCAGCGGGATTGTGTGAGCCTTCATCTTGCCTGCCAGCGGCCTTGGTGTTGTACCCGGGGAGGATGACGAGGGTGTAGGGTTCAATACCCGGCACTGGGGACGCACTAGTCTTCAGTCGCTTGCTACCTTTGTTCTGCTGGGTAGGTGTAGGACAATTGACAGGTAGGGATTAGAATACCTTTGTTCTGCTGGGTAGGTGTAGGACAATTGACAGGTAGAGCTTAGGGTACCTGGCTCGGTTCTGGTTATGTGTGTGCAGCTGTTTGTTATGTGTGTTTTTTTCAATTAATGAATAACTAGAGCTTATAGACTGTTAACTCGAAAGTCTCGAGTTCAAATCCGGGTACAAGTCAGTGGAACATCCATGCGCCCACCCAACTCTGATGGATAATATATAATTATCGTTAGTGCTGACCACATTGTACCGTAATATGCCGAGGTAAAAAAAAATATGAACTCTATTCGTCTACCCATTGGATCGCTAGGTCTAAAGAGGAATCTTTACTTTAACTATTAACATAGACAAAGTCAAAGTTTACTCCATGGCGTGCCATAACATGTCTAACATAGCGAGTAGCTACATTTTATACAAGCAATAGATTACTAGCATTTAATCCTCTGTTGCAATGTGTTGTGACTAACCTTTGACCCTGGATGGCAATGTATTATGACTGACCTTTGACCCTGGGTTGCAATGTGTTGATCTGTTGTGCCTAGAACCCCGGGGATCGTCGTCTGCTAAATCATAGTATGTAGAGCTGAGGAGGAATGGACAATGGGAGTTTAGGTGTGGTCGATGGGAGGTAGGGCAGATGTGGTCAATGGGAGGTAGGGCAGGTGTGGTCAATGGGAGGTAGGGCAGGTGTGGTCAATGGGAGGTAGGGCAGGTGTGGTCAATGGGAGGTAATTCAGGTGTGGTCAATGGGAGGTAATTTAGGTGTGGTCAATCGGAGGTAGGGCAGGTGTGGTCAATGGGAGGTAGGGCAGGTGTGGTCAATGGGAGGTAATTTAGGTGTGGTCAATCGGAGGTAGGGCAGGTGTGGTCAATGGGAGGTAGGGCAGGTGTGGTCAATGGGAGGTAATTCAGGTGTGGTCAATGTGAGTTAGTTCCGGAGTTGTTTATGGGAAGAGATGCTTAAAAGTAGCAAATGAGAGAAGTTATTTAAATGAGTTTTGGAGGTCTGATATTTAAATTAAGAAGCAGATGGGAGATTTTTATAAAGGCCGAGCTGTGGTCAATGGTATTTTTATTTTAATGAAGGATTTTTCTTTTCCTGGCAACTAACATTTACATTTTTAGGGGTTAGCTGATGTTTACATATGTAGTGGATTATGGCTTGGGGAACGGGATGGTGAATTTTATTTTCTTGATGTGGCTAGGCTTTTACTATCATAATATTTTACGCCCTCACATCAACAATTTAAAAACGTCAACGAAATTAACCACGAAGAGAGGTAGGCCTATATCAAACAAAATGTGCTTAATACCACTAGCAAATAAAAATAGTTAAAGACTACTCAAATCTCTGTTATTTATTTGATAACTACATTATAAACTTAAGCGTCAAAGAGCCTTGTTTAAGGTCCTTAATATCAAATTAATTTCTATTAAATAAACTACCCCTTCGAACGTTACGGTGTATGACACAGGTGAAGTAGAGTTAACCTGTTTCTGTTACATAGGCATATGAAGGGATAGTGAGGTTAGCACTATACCCTGTCGCCTTTACTTTCCTTGAGTCAGGTACCCATCAGAGCTGGGTAGACTGAGTGACTTCCAACAGTCTTGAGCCAGTGATCCTATCTCAAGATTTCTAGGTAAGAAGTCGAACGCTCTACCATTCAACCACGATGTCTCTTAATAAAGAAAAGATGGTTATCCTTAAACGAAGACGTAGAAATGTGGATTTTCCAGAAATCAGCAAATATTGATCTGACCAAGTACTTCAGCGCTGGTTACAGATAACACTCAAACGTTCGTCGTCCCTCCCCCCCCCCCCCCCCCCCCCCCCCAGAGAAAGTCTTTGAAATTTCACAAAATAGAATTTATATAGAAAATATATACTCTTAACAGTGTCCACCCCGTCCACCCCCGAAATTATAGTCCGCGCCCCACCACCCGACCCGAAACTTTCAAGTGCCGGAGAAAGTATCGTCATCACTGACAGTGTTTCTGTTTTACTCTATGAAATACTTCTCACAGTAAGAAGATTTCATGCGAACAGGTCAAGTAAGAATATTAGAAAACAATTAAAGATATATTATTTTTTTGGTTTGAATCCAGTTTAGGTTGAGATCTTTGTACAAATTTCAGGCAGGCGTCACTAATGGAGCATGTTACCGGGAACACACGTGCTGATGAGAGAAATCTTAATTAAGTATTTAATTGAAACGTTTAGCCTGGTAATAGCGACTATCGTTTTTCTCAACAAAAAAAAAACAGGAAGTGGTGATAGCAGGGTGTTGATACCCGCATCACGTGACACATTCATGTGACACCCGCATCACGTGATACCATCATGTTGATATCCGTACCATGTGATACCAGTATCGCGTGATACCCGCATCACTTGATACCATCATGAATCCAGTAATACCAGAATCACGTGATATACACATCACTTGATAACATAGCATACAAACATTATGTAATACTATTTTTACTGGTGATATAGTTATCGTTGCTGTTGTTTTGATTTGACAATTATATTAAACCATTAGTTTAATATCATCAGTTTACAAAAAATGTCTGGCTTAAGGATCGGCTTACTGTAGACATTGGTCAGAAAAATTTGTCAGTAAAAATGGTTAACTGTTTAACTTTACTAACCTAACAACCTTAACCATAGTGTACCCATTATAGTGGAATAATAATGGTACGGCAAAATCTCATTTTCGACGTCTTTGGATAAAAACACTTCTCCATTCAGAGATGTACCCCAACATAACCCATACATCATCACCAACATTGTTTCCTTTATTCCACGTACGGTTATTTTATAACACCTCCCACCCCTCCACACACATGACATGTCAATCACTCAGTAACATTCATTAATTGCTATTTAATTATTCATTAATTTACTGAACGAAATGTACTATACATTTCCAACGCTTTTTCATAGAAAAAAACGTCAATCAATCATCGCCCCTCGCCCCATAACAATTCCCACTTTCCCACCACAATAAGTTTCTTTTTTAGAAATGTCACTGCGCTAAAGACGATGTTGTTGGTTAGGTGTATCTGTAGTGGTTTTTTGGACTTAGGTCTACCTAACAACATACACGACACAATAAACCAGGTCACATACACTCGCCAAGTCACATACACAATTAGTACACCTACTTATATACACACACATAGCACCTACTCACACACACAGTGCACCTACTCACATACACAATTAGTACACCCACTCACATACACAATTAGTACACCTACTTATATACACACACATTGCACCTACTCACATACACAATTAGTACACCCACTCACATACACAATTAGTACACCTACTTATATACACACACATTGCACCTACTCACATACACAATTAGTACACCCACTCACATACACAATTAGTACACCCACTCACATAGTGCACCAGCCTGTTTATTACTATCACAGTTATAAAAAACCCGTACCATGTTTATTCAATAAAAGCTAATTTGGTGCTATAAAGTTAAATAAAAAAGATTATATAAACTGTAAACACATTTAAAATGCGATTATTTACATTTACCTTGATCAGTCTAATTAAAGAGGACTAAGCACACTTTTTATGATACATACATTACCCTAACGCTACGTTTGAGTTTTTAAAAATGTTCTACAACATTGGTATTTATATACCTGTTACAAGCTTTGAAAGAGTTTTTTTTTTTTTTTAACTTTACACGTTTTATCAACGTCTATTAAAAATCAATTTATAAAAATAACCACTCTATTTTCATCTTTATGATTACCTTTAACTAATTTCACTATCAAAAGGTAAACTGGTACATCACACATATAAGAGTTTAACTATTATATCACATACAAGTGGTGAACTGGTATATCACATATAAATAGGTAAACTAGTATATTACATATGCATGTCGTAAACTAGTACATCACACATACAAGTGGTAAACTGGTATATCACATATACATGGGGTAAACTGGTATATCACATGCAAAGGTTAAACTGGGATCTCAATCAAACCAGAATAACCACTCGTGCAATAAATGGGATTGGGGGGGGGGGGGGGGGGCAGGGCCTCAAACAATACAAAGGGGTCCAACGATCAGTAGAGAAAGAGGGATCTGATGTACAGTCTGTGAATCTTTTTAAGGGGGGGGGGGGGCGGGGGGTGTTAACATTTTGACAGTGTATGTCATCATTGCTGGACATTGACAGCTGTTCAATGACACGAAGCAGATTAATTTAAAAGATATCATTTATGAAGTATTGATAAAAACACTTCTCCACCCAGAGATACACCCCAACATAACCCATACCTAACCACTAACATTGTTTCTTGTATTACCCGTACCGTTATATTTTAACCCAAAATTTTAGCTGTTCTAGAAACTTCTAAAGACATTATGCCATGAATACATTAAGTTTTTTAATCATTTTCATTAAATCTGAACTAAACATAACGTAATGCTGTTCGTAAGATTTCATTCAAATAGACAGTATAATATAAACAGGTCTTGTTTTCTACGGATTAAAAAAAAATGAGAAAATGTCAATTTACATTTTAAACCGTTCACTTGAATAATTGCCTAGCCTAGCCTAGCGATAAGCTGTACAACTTATCTGGAGAATGAAGCCTAGCCTAACATTACACTGTATCTACGTCAGGCTAATAAACATTGATTATAGATAAAATCTATTTTATTACTCGGCCCGCCGCTCTACTTGATTTTATTAGGTGTGTAGCTCAATAACACTCTTACTTCCCCATGTTAATAAGTCTCAAATACACCCACCCCCTTCCCCAAATTCTTAGATTACTAACCGCGACCCCCGTCGCACTTGGCACGTAGGCAGGCAGCCATTTTGAAAAGGCCTGTTACGAAAACACAAAAACCTACTATAAAATTTGGGTCACGCGTTATGTTACGGCGGCTAAGCAAGCACGTCGTTCCCGAGCCTCGTTTGGGGGCGAGTGTGCTCGGGCCGCCCCGCGTGTGTCGAGCTGGCTAGTGACGCGCATAGCAACGGGCGGTGGGGGGCGCGCTAGATTGTTCTCGAATGTCGGTCCCACTCCAGTCCCAGCCCACCCTCAATATTCGCTACCCTCCCCCCGTTAGAGAGAAAGATAGAAACGAAGCTTAACACGCATGCCTTGAACTGATTAAATATAATGGATAGTGAAGTATTCATGGACTACAACCCCCTCCCCTCCCCTTGAGTTCCCTGCTTTGAAAACCTCAAACAAGAATAAATATTTCTCGGTTATTTCCCTTAGACTGTGCACACAGAAAGGCAGCTGAATTAATTCTGAATAAAATTTATTGCGTGCATGATTTTTTATTTCCCCAGCCTTAAAGATAGAAGCAGTTATTCTGGAGTTGTATAAAACATCACACACACCATTCTGTACAGTATAGTAAATAAATGTATAACTAATTACTGTTAAATGTGATGGGGGTATTTGGTGAAGTACTGCAACAAGTTTGGGATGGCGTGGAAGAATGGTAGAGCATGCGATTGCTATCCCGAAAGTCTAGAGTTCGAATCTGAGTTCAAGTCTATAGAACGTCTAC